GGCTGCGTGTGATGGAAATCTGGACAGAATGCTGGCGATATTCAGATGTTCTGCGGCGCTTGATAAGGTAGCCGGCAAGCTGGCTAGCCGGATACCGGGGCGCCAGATTGGTTCCATTGCAAGCTTTTGAGCGTGGTTGCTAAGCGGATTTTACTTCGTTGGCGCATTCGGTTGTATTTTATTTTTATTTTATTCTAAGTTTTATTCTCGAAAATCAGATCGATTTGTCGTTTTCGGAGACTAGCTACCGGCCTCGGGACCTGGACTTTTTTCGGAAGCTGGACCCGGGACCCACTTGGATCTATAGATATAGATTTTGAATGTGTTCTAGAATTCAGGTTAGGTGCAGGGTGTTTTTCTCCTAGTTGGGTAGAGCGCAGTGCCTCTTGGACCCGGCCCTCTCGCGAACAGTCGGTAGCGGATCTACAGTTGACTAATTTGGGGTCTTGATGACTTTTCGCTTGGCCTAACGACTATGCCCTCGGACTTCTTGTTGTACAGCAGATGTTGTGACTGCGGAAGGACACAGCACGCTTATTTAACTAGGAAGGCACGACTTAGGCCTTCTCTTCGAGCACGCGAACTCGTAGAAGTTCACCCTCCTGATGAGACTCCGTTGGTGGGCGGAGCGAAACCAATTGAGGGATGCCACTGTGCTTGGCTATGGTGGTTATGAGTGACTGTTTGCAGAGTGCATTTGGGCTTTTTTGAAATTACTATCGTTTTGCATTCCTGCGTTCATGTCACTCTGCTGCAGGGACTGTTTTGCCGCAGTCTGCCAACTGCCAACTCTCTCTCTCTCTCTCTCTCTCACACACACACACACACACACACACACACACACACACACACACACACACACATACACACACACACACATACATTCTTCTGTCTATTGATGGACTAGGGACCCACTTGGATCTATAGATATAGATTTTGAATGTGTTCTAGAATTCAGGTTAGGTGCAGGGTGTTTTTCTCGTAGTCGGGTAGAGCGCAGTGCCTCTTGGACCCGGCGCTCTCGCGAACAGTAGGTAGCGGATTTACAGTTGACTAATTTAGGGTCTTGATGACTTTTCGCTTAGTCTAACGACTATGCCCTCGGACTTCTTGTTGTACAGCAGATGCTGTGACTGCGGAAGGACATAGCACGCTTATTTAACTAGGAAGGCACGGCTTAGGCCTACTCTTCGAGCACGCGAACTCGTAGAAGTTCACCCTCCTGATGAGACTCCGTTGGTGGGCGGAGCGAAACCGGTTGAGGGATGCCACTGTGCTTGGCTATGGTGGTCATGAGTGACTGTTTGCAGAGTGCATTTGGGCTTTTTTGAAATTACTATCGTTTTGCATTCCTGTGTTCATGTCACTCTGCTGCAGGGACTGTTTTGCCGCAGTCTGCCAACTCTCTGGCGAGTAGTAACCGGCAACGGGAGATGCTATTCGGTGGCTGCGTCTACGTGTTTGTGACAGTTAGTCGAGGTGACTCTTCTTACTTGGTAAGTTTCTTTCGTGGTTCGTCGGTGCGCTTATGGTGAGCACAATCTGCAACGACTACGTGTTTCCGGCAAGTAATTCTAGGCGGTTGCACGGTTTTCGACGTTTTCGGAGATAATTCCCACTTGGTAAGTAACTGTTGCGTTCGAGGCTCGATGCTGCACGTATGAGGAGCACGTTTCTCTAGCATCGGCTTAGCGCTTCTCTGAGATCGCTAGCTAAAGCGGCTGGTCTGTCCAGCTTGGGGCGCTAGGGTAAACGCGGGCTAACTATGCGGGTGTGATCGAGCCGCTTCACTTGGTGGTAAGGGCAACTGTGTGGTTACAGACTAGGTATAACCCGGGGATGGGTAGGAAGGTCGCTTCTCTGACGATCCCACGTTTGTTGATGAGTGGTGTAGGACTGATTCTGATCGGTCTAGGGCTTTTCGTAATTGGCACTGCATTTTAAATATGAGGATGCCGGTTTGGCGTAGGACCGGTGGTGAACGTAGAACTTGCGACAGAATCCCGTTTGTGATCCGGGTAAGATTGGTTCGTGCGTTAAACCGATTTGTAGAGAATACGATCCGATCCTTGTTCTATCTGACGGGGCTAGTCGGGGACGAACAGCTTAGGGACCGGTTCTATGATACGCTGCTTCGAGCTCTGGTTCGGGTTGAGAGGGCGATTTTAATTCTCAGAACACGTAGGAGAGTTCGAATCATTGAGGTCGTGGATATCAAGAGAAGTTTACGGGTTGGGTGGGTTGGCTTGTGGTTTAGGACTTTGGGGTCTTGGGATAGCTCTCATCAATAAGGTTATATAGTGGGATCGGGCTCAGCAGATTGGCTGAGCGTTGGCGGGTGGAAGCTTTTCGGGTTCTGACAATATGTTCCTAACCAATGGCCCGGGAGGGAACAACTCGGGGACATATGGAAATGGCGACGGAGGCTACAATAGATCGAGATACGGCGACGGTAGAGGTGGTGCGCTGGCGAATGGAGGCACGGCTGGTGGAGGAGGTAATTACGATACCGGCGGAAACGGTGGGGGTGGGCCGGGCGGAGTATGCTACAATTGCGGTAAACCTGGGCACTTCGCGCGTGATTGCTGGTCACATCGTGATAGACCCTTCCAAAACAATTTTGGTGATCCTGAGCTGGAGGAGATTAAGGAGCATCATAGGCAAGCTAGAAAGGAGCGCATCGAACAGGAGGAGAAGAAGAGGGACGAGGAGGAGAAAAGAGCGAAGGAAGAGGAAGAGAATCGTAGAAATCAAGATTTCGCGCGGAAGATGGAGGAATTCAAGCTACAATTACGGGTCGATCTGAATGAAGAATGGCGCAAGAAGAGCTCTGAAGCTGAGAAAGTCATGACCGAGACTAAGAAGAAGACGGTAAGACTGAACCACTGCTCACGATCGAAGAAAGGTAAAGGGAAAGGGCGAAGAATGAAGAGGAAGCATTATGTGCTCACCAGTGATGACTCTTCAACCGATATGTCGTCCTTTTCGGAGGATTCTAGTTCCGTGACAAGTGGTTCCAGTGATGAAAGGACGTGCGTGAAGGTGACTAGGGGAAACGGGAAGCGGCTTAGTAAGGGGAAGTCGAAGCAAGGTTAGGGGAAGGAAAACATGAACTCACCGGCGATCAAGGTCACACCACGAAAACACGAGACAAGCGAATGCTCCATGAGGGAGCGGGTCTTGGGGAAAGGGAGTGGGGTGCGGGAGAATGTAGCGGGTGGGATGGAGAAATCGGAGGAGGAGGGGGAACCAAAGACACCGCTGACAAGGGGGTACAAAGGACTGTCAGCAGGATGTTCGCAGAAGGGCTTAATAAATTATTGCATTTCTGCTCATAAGATCTACTCAGCTAAGAAAGCGCATGCTCTGAGGAGGATCTGCGAGAGGAGGGGTATCAAGTACACAACGAAACCGGAAGTTGTGGAACAACTTGCGAGGCAGCAGGTGGAAATAGCCTACGAAGGTTTCGAAGAGGGTATGGGCAAAGGAGAAGAGACGTTGGGTGAGCAGGCTGCTTCGCCAAAAGCTGACGTCAACAGAAGTAAAACTGTGCATGTTTCTCCAACGGCTCGAAGGCCAAGGGTAATTTACTAATTTTTAAGTCGGTAGCAGTGCAACCTTAAGAGGATTGACTGGAAAAGCCACCTTCGACTTCGGATCTCTGGGAATCACTCAACACCTGGATCTCCTGTAGATCTGAGCTACGAAGGGATAGCGTGACAGGTGAGGTAGCTAGGAAGGTAGAAAGTGTCATCGCAACAACGACGGTACTATTAGCGGTTCGGGGACAGATACCTTGGCTCAAGAAGTTCATTGCTAGGGAAGGTGACTTTTCAGGAATGCTTGACTTGAACACGCCAGGGGTGTATGCTATCGTTAGCCCTTGGGCTAGGAAGACGTATGTGGGATGCACGGTTCGCCCGATCATACAGAGGTGGAGAGAGCACTGCCGCAACGCAGCAAATAATGCTTTGGGGCTAGCTCCACATCTTTCTCGGTGGTTACGAGCGTACGGCCTAGAAAGATACGTGGTTATTCCTCTGCGACACGCAGGTAAGGATGATGATCTTATGTTCGAGAAATTTTTGATCTCTGATTTTTGCCCAAGCTTGAAACCGCGTGACCTGAATTTGAAGAAGGAGGGTAGGAGAAAACTTAGAAAAGGGAGGCGGGAGAGAAAGGGGACAGCTTGTAAGATGAGGGCAGAAGAAACGGTGAGCTTTCACGATGGCGACTCAAGTTTTGTGTCACTGGTTGGATAGCTGAATGCTCACTGTGAGGGCCACACGCCGAGGATGATTGAGGTAAGGAAGGGTACGAACTGGGTGCACAGCTGGCGTAAGATCAAGCGTCTGTTTGGCGGTTCTATTGTGAAGGTTGGCGGCATCGTGTCATCACTAAGGTGGGTTAAGAGGCAACTGCCGCAAGGTACCCAGCTTGAGCTCTTGCGGATCGTGAAGGCAAAGACAACCACTGAGAAGAATAAATCCTTTTTAGTTGTTCTTCTTCGGAGGCCTAGGCCTATCTCGCAACTCTGTTGTTTTACGACGAACAAGCTGATAGGCTTATATCGTGCAGCAGGCCTCTTTACCGAGAAGAAGACCAAGCAACTTCTGCGTCTCAGGATCGATAGAGCACTGCACAGGAAGACGGGCGTAAGTATAAGGAAGCGCATTAACATCAAGGTTCCGTATGCATTTAATGTTAGGAAGAATGCCATCAGGAAGACTGCCTAAGGTATGGTCAGCGAAAGGCTGTCGGACGCAAGGTTAGCGGACTTCGTAAAGACCCGCATTCGGGTGATCTGGACACGTAACAAATCGGTCGGTGAGGCCATATGGAACCAGAAACTGTACGCGACGGACGCTGAGGTGGTCTGTTGTTGTGACCGCTTCTCGCTTCCGAAGGTTGCAGGCCATGTACAAACTCGCTTTTCAGAGTTGCCAGGGGATCTCGTGCCAGCGTTCGTACGTAACGCTAAGAACATCACGAGGCCTGGGCGAAGGCTACGGAACGAGGCAGTGTTGAAGGCTATCCTAGATGCAATGAAGCATCTAAAAGAGGACATGGGGGGGGTGGATCTGCTGCCAGGATCTTTTTGTTGTGAAGAGCATCGATCGCTAACGTTGACGGATGATGCAGTAAGAGACTGGGGAAAGAAATTTGGAGGGCTAGTGCTTACTCAGATTGACAGGAACATCGGGGATACGACAGTATTTTGCCCATGCCTGTATAGGCATGGGTTCGGGAAGTTGTTTACTTGGAACACTAATTACCGCACGGTGGGGAATGCGGATAACGAGGCCGAGTTACTGAAGAAGTACAGGGATGATTTAAGGGAATGCGGGCTGGAGGGTATCGGGAGGTGGAAGCCCGACGGCAGGTTAGGCTCTGCCTATGTAATTCCTAAACACAAGGATCTGGAACGATGGAGACCCATCGCTCCAGCCCCAGCGGATCCAGCAGCACTGGCGCAAAAAAAAGTGGCGAGAGTTTTGCACACGCTACTATACCGACTGCCGGTTCACAATTCCTTCTATCTGAATTCTATTTCTGAGTTGGCGTATCGGTTGAAGGCAATGACAGAGAGACTGAGGGCGAGGGGCTGCACTAAGGTGGAAGGACGCTGCTACGACATTAAGGAGATGTTCTCCCGGATCCCACACTCAGCTGTCATCAGTTCGGTGGAATGCTTGCTGAGAGAATACGTCGACAGAGGTTGGAAGTGCATGAAGGTTTCCTTTCGGGGGAAGGCTTGTGTGATCAGCAAAACGAAGAGAAGACTGGATGGTTATGTCAATATTTGCCTTCCTGCTCTACTCCAGGCGGTGCATTATGATCTGCAACACTCTTCTACCAAGTGTGGGGACAAGTTGATGCAGCAGGTCTTTGGAATCCCTATGAGGAAGTCCACTAGTCCGATCCTTGCCTCTATCACTTGCGCCATCTCTGAGAGGAACTTGCTGAGGACTCTGGGCAGCGACAGGCTGCTCGTTGGAGGATGGAGGATCATGGATGATATCTCCGTTATTGTGGGTACTTCAGACGCGTCCATTTGCTGTCCGGATGAGATTTTTAAAGCCTTTGAGCAATGCTATGATACCAATCTGGAGGTCATGCGTAAGGACGAATGCGGTTTCACCTGGCCTTTCGTAGGCGGAACTTTCTTCATCTGTAGTAAGCCGCTGCAGTTACGCTTTGTCCCGAACGGTAAGAACACGAACGCATTATACGAGAAAGGCAACTTGGTCTTCCATACCATGCAAGACTATAGCTCGTATTCGGACAAGGCAGTTAAAAAGGCGGTACTAACTGCAGCGATCCGGAGATTGTGGGACCAGACTACGTGCAAAAAAACTGGTTTTGGGCGCAATTGCTTTCGCTATTTGCGAAGCTGACCTCCGGGGATATGCCTCGGAGGTCTCTCTCGGTGCCTTGGCCAAATTGGCCAAGGCTGCGTGTGATGGAAATCTGGACAGAATGCTGGCGATATTCAGATGTTCTGCGGCGCTTGATAAGGTAGCCGGCAAGCTGGCTAGCCGGATACTGGGGCGCCTGGTTGGTTCCATTGCAAGTTTTTGAGTTTGGTTGCTAAGCGGATTTTACTTCGTTGGCGCGTTCGGTCGTATTTTATTTTTACTTTATTTTATTTTTATTTTATTCTAAGTTTTATTCTCGAAAATCGGATCGATTTGTCGTTTTCGGAGACTAGCTACCGGCATCGGGACCTGGACTTTTTTCATAAGCTGGACCCGGGACCCACTTGGATCTATAGATATAGATTTTGAATGTGTTCTAGAATTCAGGTTAGGTGCAGGGTGTTTTTCTCGTAGTCGGGTAGAGCGCAGTGCCTCTTGGACCCGGC